TTATCATATTCAATCATGTATTCCACATTAAAGCCTACAAAATATTTAGAACGAAAGAACTTTATACTTCAGTGTTTGTTTGTCTTGTATCATGTGTGTCGTTCAACGAAACCAGAACTTAATCTAAAATAGAGAGATATTTATCAGTCTGGCTACTTCATAATTTGATGCTAAATTGTTGAAATCCAGGAGCTTCTGAGCTTCCCCATGGACCCTCTACCAGGGCAACCGTAATTACGCCTCCCGTTCATAAAATCCTGGCCTAGGACTATTGAAATGTTAAGTAACGCCTTATACCCTAGAATTTGGAATTTCTCGTTATTGGTCTACTGCTGTTAAGATCCATCCAATCATTTTAATATACCATAGACAATTAATGGAGAGAATTCGGCATAAAAAATGTCAAACCCTGACACTTTAACTATAAAATATACATGCTCCAAGTCAGGAACCGTTACATTAGTACATTTCACAATTATTTGTCTGTGGATTTCATTCTACGCCCCCTCTTTCAAATATCCTATTCAACAGGGATTGACTCAGGTCCACTCAAACTATATAAATAACTGTTTATCAGCAATTAACTAAAATGTGGGTTAAAATGAATAACCGAGGAATTAGATCAGTAGGGTCGGTGTGAGTCTGTGGAACTATAGTGCGAAGAAGCAACAGAAAAAAAAACAAGAAATCAATGGACACAATGCCATTTTTTCGGTCATATATAGTTTGGCATTGCTGACAACTGATGTGATTTTGCATTCTTAGAATAACTAAACCAAATTAAGAATTATGCGAGAACGATACACAAGCTGACAGACTTGAATTAACCGAGAATGGAAGGAGCACCATACTTTGTAATAATCTCATTGGAGAGTTTATTGATAAAAATAATGACTGCTCATACGTCTCTGGTCGTTATTATGAGTGGTACTTCGAACAATATTGTATTTCTTATTACGTTGGCATCCACTGGCTTCACTTAAATGGCACAAAAAACAAAAGGTTTTTCGAATATATGAATTGTGAATAATCACTTTAAAACTTCGCCCAACCTTTCCTGAACCTTTAAATAACAAATCATTACAAACAACCACAGATTTTTTTGTAGACCTTTTTCGCCCTGTTTTTTTTTATTTCCCCGTTGGTTCCACCTTGACCAGAGACACTAATAAGGAAACTATACATTTTTAACAATTTTCAGAAACTCTCTGCGTAGGTCGGCCAATCATGAATAACGGCTTGCCATCCCGAAAGAAATGAACAAGTTGAGCGTTTCAACTGTACTCTGTCTATCATTCTATGTGCACTCCATTAAGAACGCAAGTGGTCGTGTGGTGCAGTGCGCCTTTCACCAAGACGGCCGGGGTACGATTCCCCGATCGGATTTGAAAAGATCATATCGGGTCACCTGCCCGACCACGTGGGTATAATTCCGGTTAATCTGCCCGACCACGTGGGTATAATTCCGGTTAATCTGCCCGACCACGTGGGTATAATTCCGGTTAATCTGCCCGACCACGTGGGTATAATTCCGGTTAATCTGCCCGACCACGTGGGTATAATTCCGGTTAATCTGCCCGACCACGTGGGTATAATTCCGGTTAATCTGCCCGACCACGTGGGTATAATTCCGGTTAATCTGCCCGACCACGTGGGTATAATTCCGGTTAATCTGCCCGACCACGTGGGTATAATTCCGGTTAATCTGCCCGACCACGTGGGTATAATTCCGGTTAATCTGCCCGACCACGTGGGTATAATTCCGGTTAATCTGCCCGACCACGTGGGTATAATTCCGGTTAATCTGCCCGACCACGTGGGTATAATTCCGGTTAATCTGCCCGACCACGTGGGTATAATTCCGGTTAATCTGCCCGACCACGTGGGTATAATTCCGGTTAATCTGCCCGACCACGTGGGTATAATTCCGGTTAATCTGCCCGACCACGTGGGTATAATTCCGGTTAATCTGCCCGACCACGTGGGTATAATTCCGGTTAATCTGCCCGACCACGTGGGTATAATTCCGGTTAATCTGCCCGACCACGTGGGTATAATTCCGGTTAATCTGCCCGACCACGTGGGTATAATTCCGGTTAATCTGCCCGACCACGTGGGTATAATTCCGGTTAATCTGCCCGACCACGTGGGTATAATTCCGGTTAATCTGCCCGACCACGTGGGTATAATTCCGGTTAATCTGCCCGACCACGTGGGTATAATTCCGGTTAATCTGCCCGACCACGTGGGTATAATTCCGGTTAATCTGCCCGACCACGTGGGTATAATTCCGGTTAATCTGCCCGACCACGTGGGTATAATTCCGGTTAATCTGCCCGACCACGTGGGTATAATTCCGGTTAATCTGCCCGACCACGTGGGTATAATTCCGGTTAATCTGCCCGACCACGTGGGTATAATTCCGGTTAATCTGCCCGACCACGTGGGTATAATTCCGGTTAATCTGCCCGACCACGTGGGTATAATTCCGGTTAATCTGCCCGACCACGTGGGTATAATTCCGGTTAATCTGCCCGACCACGTGGGTATAATTCCGGTTAATCTGCCCGACCACGTGGGTATAATTCCGGTTAATCTGCCCGACCACGTGGGTATAATTCCGGTTAATCTGCCCGACCACGTGGGTATAATTCCGGTTAATCTGCCCGACCACGTGGGTATAATTCCGGTTAATCTGCCCGACCACGTGGGTATAATTCCGGTTAATCTGCCCGACCACGTGGGTATAATTCCGGTTAATCTGCCCGACCACGTGGGTATAATTCCGGTTAATCTGCCCGACCACGTGGGTATAATTCCGGTTAATCTGCCCGACCACGTGGGTATAATTCCGGTTAATCTGCCCGACCACGTGGGTATAATTCCGGTTAATCTGCCCGACCACGTGGGTATAATTCCGGTTAATCTGCCCGACCACGTGGGTATAATTCCGGTTAATCTGCCCGACCACGTGGGTATAATTCCGGTTAATCTGCCCGACCACGTGGGTATAATTCCGGTTAATCTGCCCGACCACGTGGGTATAATTCCGGTTAATCTGCCCGACCACGTGGGTATAATTCCGGTTAATCTGCCCGACCACGTGGGTATAATTCCGGNATCTAAGTCTGGTGTCAGCTGGGCCAGAGGAAACTCGGACTAACCACACATCTATCTGTCAAACTGTCTTAGTCTGGTGTTAGGGCCAGAGGAAACTCGGCCTAACCCCACATCTATCTGTCAAAATGTCTTAGTCTGGTGTTAGGGCTATAGGAAACTTGGGCTACATTTTACATAATTCAAACAGTGTCATCCAGTAACACCAAATAACATAGCGACTCAAGCATGTTACAAAAAGCCTAAATCAGAATACTACGTGTTGAAATATCATAAAAAAATATATGCGTATTGTAATAATGCAACCTTATAGTACAAACAGTTTTTTTAATGCAGCAAAAACAGAAACTGCACACTTGAGATTCTGAATATGACATTTTCCTTGTGTTACAGTTCATTATGTTGCAACATAATGGTAGGTTACTGAAGTGATCATTTATATGAAGACAAAAAAGGAAGGTGTTCCATATTTATTTTCCAAAGGAACTGTAGTTTATTGCACTTTTAGAAAACTTTGAGGAAGTTTTCGGAGAGAGCAGTCCAATCTAATCAATTCCTCTTGCTACTGGCGCATACGGCCGGCAGTACAGTGTATACTATAGCCATAGGGACACGTCACATGCTATATAACTGGAGTTAATAAAAATGGGCGTAACAGAATACTACGACTATGACGCCCGTGAGATCGACTTTCGGTAAAAAAAAGATACCAATTGGGATGACATTTTTACCGAAAGTCAATCTGAACCCCTAAAACATGTAAATTTACTCTGAACACCTTAGTTTTGGTCCAAATATAGCTGTAACCAGGGACAGTATATACCGCTATACGTCCCTGCTGTAACAAGTTATCAGGTGCCTGTGGTTTATATGTGACAAATCCATGTGATTATGACTATGTCAGTTGTTTTTAGCTGTCAGAACTTGATCCCAATACATTGTACTTTTTTTTCAATATGTTTGAATGAGTGATTACACGTGATTAGAGAGCTATCTAAGTCCGTGGTTATCATACATTTTTCAAATTTGTAAAACTAATCGATACTAATGAATAGTGTATTAACCTTTAATAGATCGGATGTGTCGACAAGTCAATACTGTATCATCTCAAACAGAATAATATTTCACTAAATTGATTTCAGCCGTATCATATTAGATGATAAAATATGAATACCCACCCTCCAAAACAAACAAAAAAACAATAACCGGCGCGAGGGAGGGAAGGGAATGGAGAAAAAAGGGAAACAACTAAATCGATCAAAAAAAACTCGCCGGTTTGTACATGTCTAGTTACATCTGTCATGTATACATTAGACTCCTTAAAGATTAAAAAAAAACGGTTTTCGTACAATAGTTTACTAAGAGATTGTTAGTTTTGCAGTTTTATTACGAAATTTGATAGGAACTATAAATGTTTAAGATATTTTGTGGAAAAAATCCTCGCGCGGTTTTTTCTTCACAAGCGTCCTTGAGATCAAGACCAGAAGGTCAAGGCCTCTGAAAATGTCAACAGTATATTCTCGACCATTGCTAAATACAGGTGACAAACTAGAACTAAACAATGACTTTGCATACATATAGTGATACGTAGCATTAAGGGAAGGACACGCAATGCCTAGACATTTTCCATGTTAATGCCATAAACGAGTAGTTATACAGAAGAGAAACTATGTCAAAAATACGATCAGCCGGGATGTCGGCCGAGCCAGAACAGCGGGAACCATTGTTACTTGACAGTGACTCGGAGTTTGTCAGTTATTATGACGAACAGGATATAAGAAAAAGGGTGACAAAGAAAGACAAGAAATCCAGGTGAGGGAGAGAAAAACAATTCTGAAGTGGTCTTAATTTTTCAGTTCTCTTGACTTTCAACCTAAGTTTCTATTTACAATGAATATTCATTTATATTTGGGACAACAATTATTTTTCTGTTCAACCAGTTTGTAATGAGTTCTTTAATAATATCTGGATTCGAACCCAACAATGAGGCAGCGGTGGTCAAGTGGTTAAGGCGTCTGACATTCTGCTACCAACAGGTCCAGTACACTCTGGTTGTTAATGACGTATGCAGTAGGGTTAGAAATAGCTCATGATCAACTGCCGGACAGGAAATTGAGCTGAATCCTTGGTACACTACAGTAAAAAAAGCCTTCTGAACCTTTCGAATAACCAGGAATCTTAGGGTCATACATTTGTATTTGACCTGTTAGTGTATGCAGGGATGAAAGGGCAATTGTCTGTATTGTTTGTTAAAATGACGTTGACCTACATTCAAGCTTGCTAGTTTACATGGGGTCAAATTTGTTAAATCAAGAAGCAAAGGGTCATTTTTTTGGGTGCCTTTGGCATGGTATTTCAGTGAGATAGCACTATGAAGTCGGCATCAGATCCCTGCTATCACAAGGAGGCAAGTACCCAACATACCCTGCTTCAGCATACATGAACGCTTACACAACAAACACGGAGACACGTCCTTAAATAACCTTAAATGTTAATAGGACGTTAAACAATATGAAACCAAACCAAACCAAACCTGTGATGAAGGGGTATCACGATTGTTAAAATGAATATGACTGTTTTTATACGACCCTCAAATTTGACGGTAGTGTTATGGTATGGCATTGTCCGTCCGTCCGGCGTAAACTTTGTTTGTCCGGCAATCTCCTCCTACATTTTTTGACCGATCTATTTGACACTTGGTATACATTATAATCATGATATAAAGTTGTATCTCCCGAAATTGAATTTTGATTCGACAATTTTTCCAAAAGTAATTGCCTTTTGTTCATTTCAGTATTTGATTTTTGTCTGGCAATCCCCTCCTACATTTTTCGACCGATCTCTTTGTAACTTGGTATACATTATAATCATGATATAAAGTTGTATCTCCCGAAATTGAATTTTGATTCGACAATTTTTCCAAAAGTAATTGTCTTTTGTTCATTTCAGTATTTGATTTTTGTCTGGCAATCTCCTCCTACATTTTTCAACGGATCTCCTTGAAACTTGGTATACTTTATAATCATGGTATGAAGTTGTGTCTCCCTTAAAAGAAGTTTGATTCAACGAGTTTTGCAAAATTTATTGCCTTTTGTTCATTTCAGTATTTGATTTTTTTGTCCGAAGATTTTCTCCTACACTTTTTGTAGTATATCAGCTAACCACTCTTAGAATGATGCAGTTCTTATTTCAATGTAAGAAAGTATATAACACTGTATGTCATTCGACAGGCGTATTTTGTTCCGCTCCGCGGTACTCTTGTTTTATCTTCAATTCCTCTAGTATTAGCTACAAATATATTAATGCATGTTCAAAAGCCCATATACTGTTGGATGGGGATCAAACAAACTTGTGTCCCATAAAGAACTGATCTATATACAAATTAATAATACCGGTATATTATTTTTTTTTTATTTTTTTTTTCCAAATGTATTTCTGGTTCAATATGCATAAATAGATACAATTTTTTTTTCATACTCTCTTACACCCATTCACACACTCACTGCATTCACATATACTCACTCATCATTTCATAATTAATAATATATTGTTCAGCATCACAGTAACATCAAACCACTAAACTATGGCAGTACAGTATATCTATTGTACATAAAGTATTAAGTATTGTGACATTACTACGACCTGGGTGACATATGTATTTAAGTTGTATTCAATCTATTTATTATAGTGTTTATATGGTAGCTGATGTAGTTGATAATAACTACTTTACATTTAATATATACGACATATGGTCTGGTTCGCCTAGCTTGTTTTTTAGTCGGTCGTTAATCTTATATTTTCTATATTTACTTCCTTCACATGGACATTTAATCCCTTTTTATTATATATATCTGTATATTTGTTACATTTTTTTCCATCCATATCACACTATCAGGTCCATATAACAACATATTGACCTCGACAAAGGTCAACTAGTTGATGACTATATGCCAGGATGTGATTAATAAGAGTTTTGTGTATAACAACAGGAAGTTATTCTGTGGAGTCTGAACAGTCTGACTGTGGATTGTATTGTGTGTGAAACCCATTGAGGTTCTAGATATATTTAGTGGTATTATACCCGGGTATATAGTGGACCAGTGCTGGCAGCAGACATTGATAGCTAATATCAACTACATAATTAGAATGGCAGGGAAGACTAAACAAGCGTATGTCCAACTGGATGAGACAGATAATACTTGTTGTACAAACAACAGGAAAAGGTGAATGTATTGTTTGTCCTTGTTGCGAAAATTGTGTTACAAGGAAGTAAGTAGTATATTCAAATTAATTATATTTGCCTGGTTTAATGATATTCACAATGTAATGAGACTGTTACCCTTCCTTACTCAAACAGATGATTAAGTCAACATTATCTTTGATTTCCATGTCAAGCTTGAACAATGCAGTAACTTTGTCCTGCGGCTTTACTGTTTCTGTTAAGAATGTATGCTATCGTACAGAGTTTACCGGTGATACATTTGAGAGTTATCTCCCTTCTTTATAAGCCTTGTAGTTTTATTGTCATTACTATAGGGTCAATAATTAGCTAATTCCATATTGGGCCAGTTATTAGGCCGAGGTCTGTCATATTGGCCCGAGGCTGCAAGCTAATTATTGACCCCTTTATTAATTAACTTTGTAGATACATGTATAAAAACAATGAAACAGGTAATTCTAACATGTTTAATCAGAAAATAACTTTTTTTTAATGTTTGTTAAACCATAACAAATTTAAATTGAACATTTGTCACATTTTCATCGTTGTTCTTATTGCGACGATTCAGATTGATGCACAAACTGATCATGGGAGATCTTCCTTTTCTTTTCGGTAGGGGCAAGGTTTATAACTATAGATCTTCCAGAGATGGTGGCGCCAGAAAATAATGAAAAGGGAAAACACTCGGAGTCGACTGCGCTTTTAATAAATATATAATAACATATCGGGTTTTGCCGTAAAATAGTACGTTACCTTACGGTGAGTTCTGAACGGTTTACTGGGCGCATTTGAATACGCGCATTCTCTCGTATTGGCCGAGTTTGTCAAAAGTCGACCAATATTTTCCATAAAGGCCGACTTTTTTCAATATTGGCCGACTTTGTGTAACAATTCCGATATTTGCTAAGATTGTTGATTATATTGCACGGGCACGCCCCCCCCCCCCCCCCCCCCCCCCCCCACACACACACAAAGGTTTTAATCAACATCATATACCCAATAAAACAGAACTCTCATAGGAATGCATGCATTCTTGTGTACTTTTCAAAAGTATGTCTGGCATTTTTTTTTGATATCTGTGTAGTGTTACCTACTCTAATATTTCCTACCGAACCTCCAAGATTTTAATACACATGTAGCAGAATTGGACTGGCCGACTTCTGGATGGTGATCAGATCACAGGGGCATGGGTCACTTCATTTGTATATATGTATTAGAAAATCATCTCCTCCTATGTATTAGTAGAGGAGGTCATTTTTTTCACATTGCAAATAAAGCAATCCACACTCCTGTGGACCAAATAGCTCAGTTGGATCGAGTGTCTATCTAGCGTTGGAGGTTCCAGATTCAAATGCTTAAATGGTTTCCATAGGCCTGTTTCGTTATTCCTGTTGACAGGGACCCGAGAAATTGTTACAGCTAAATTTGGACTTAAATAAGGTGTTCAGAGTAATTTTACACGTTTTAGGGATTTAGATCAATGTTCGGTGAAAATGCCACCTCCCAATGATGATTGTATACAAGAAGGGAGGAAAGCTCTAGATGTCGAAATATTTACCCCACCGAACTTTCTCGCAACAAAAACCACATTTCTAGTTGATGTACGAAAAAATGCTTGGAAAGATGAATTATTTTTCTTTTAAAAACCTCCTGTATTCTCCTTCTACGGCATGATCTCTGTTTCCTCCAAAAACACACACTATTTACAAATTTCAAACTTTTTCGCAGTCATAGAGCCACTTTTGCATATTCATGAGGTTGACGTCAGCCACATGCCAACACCTGTGGTGCTATTGGCAGGAAGCGCAGCCATTTTTTCCCTAAAATATCTAGCCAATCAACACAACATGTTTAGGCATGAAATGAACATTTTCATGCAGATAACTATAAGGTAACTTATATATAATTATATCCTTCTATAGGAAGTGTCAAATATTTAAAAGGCTTATGATAAATATTTTAATGATCAAATTTTCAGGGGGATCAGTTCCTTTTTCAAAGTGCAACAGAGGTAATTATTTTTCAATGCCAGTCCATTAGGAGTCTAACCGAGACTTCTGGTTTACTAGCCTTACGCTCTTCTGAATGTGATAAAGAGAAATTGCCCCTAGCTGAGTCGGTACTAGTAGAGTACTATGTGCAGATAGTAGCAATCTATATACTACAAAATTGTATGCTCCCCAGGGAGTTGAGGTTGCAAAAGCCCTATAACCACAGATAATTTGTGAACCGCTTTGAGACAACCTACAAATTAGGTTGTGATAAAGCAGTATATAAGAACCTCAAATTATTATTATTGTTAATAAATTTGAATCAAAGAGATCAAAATAATTTCTACCACCTTCCATAAAACAGCAGAAGAATTGGTTAAACTTTAATCAAAATCTTTGATCACAATTTTCTTTTGGTGAGGTGAAGACCTAACATAACTAAAACACCCATTAAAATTCAAATGAGCACTTAGTTTGTTTTTCGTAGAAGCATTAAACTGAAATTCTCAAAAAGCCTGAGTTTTTCCCCAAAAGACAAACATTTTCAAACTAACAATGCACTGATGGATCATTTATGATGCAACCGAAACTACGGATCATAT